CGATCCCGTTGCCAGTCCCGGTCCGGTATGGGTGCAACACTGAGGGTTGCGGTCCGTTGCCGGACACGAAAAAAGACAAAAAAGGAAAAAATAAATAAATAAAAAAAGATGAGGAAACTGAGGCACTGAGAGGTGATGTGACCTGTCCAAGGCCACACACTCTTAGGTACAGCATAGCTGTTTTAACAGGGACTAGAAATACATAAGTCAAATGAGAGGTGGGGTGTCTTTCCGTCAAAGCCCTAATGTAGGCGAGAGGCTCGTGGCAAATAAGAGGCTCTTTCTCATGGTTGTCCAGGGTCCCAGTTTCCTTCCCTCTTGTTGCTCTGCTGTACCCCAGCATGCTGGCCTCAACCACATGGTCAGAAGCAGCCCAGCAGCCCCACAGCTGCAGTCCTGCCAGTAGGAAGGAGCACAAGGATCCCTTTTAAGTAAAAGTGCCAGATCTGGGAGTGGCCTAACTATGTCTTCTCATATCCCATTGGCTGGAACTTGGTCACATGGTCACACCTAGCTGCAAGGGAGCCTGGTAAATGTAGTCTTTTACCTTAGCAGCCTGTGCTCCACTAAGAAATTGGGCCAGGTGGAAGCACTTAGGACAGGTAAAGGTAGGGCAAGGAAGAGGTTTACTGAAGGCCCAGATTTGTTGATTTTTCCCTCTCTGGCCATCAATTTTCTTTTCTTTCTCTCTTTTTTATAGGTGTATCAATCTAAGCACATATCATATAATCCATCTAATTAAAAATGTAGAATTCATGCTGGCTGGTTCACTCAGTTGGTTAGAGCACAGTGTTATAATACTAAGATCGAGGGTTCAGATCCCCTTATTGGCCAGCTGCCAAAAAAAAAATTGTAAGAAATGTACAACTCAGTGGTTTTTATTATATTCACAGATATATGCCTCCATCATGACAAAATCAATTTTGGAATATTTTCATCACCCGAAAAAGAATCACTGTACCTTTTAGTCATCACTCCCCTTTCCCCATCCCCCAGCCCTAAGCAACCACTAATTTACTGTCTCTGTAGACTTACCTAATCTGGACATTTATATAAGTGGAATCATACAGTGCATGGTCCTTTGTGACTGGCTTCTTTCATTTAGTATAGTCTTCTCCAGGTTTATCTATGTTGTAGCATGTACCAATATTTCTTTCCTTTTTATGGCTGAATACTATCCCATTGCATGGGTAGACCACCTTTTTTTATCTATTCCCCATTCATGGGCATTTGATTTGCTTCCACTTTTTGGCTATTTGAATAACGCAGCTGAAATTTCTGAGATTATGCAGTGGGAGAGCTGGACTCTACACTCTCAGGGTACAGTGAGCAAGTTTGGTAGATACTGAGTGAGCGTCAGCATCTTTCCTTGGGTCTGGGCCTGTCTTCCCTCTCCCCATGAGACTAGGAGCCCCTCCAGGGCAGGGTGAGCCTGAGTCATCTCTGGATACCCTGCTTTGCCCAGCCCAAGAGGCCTCAGAACCATACCCCTTGATTGTCCGTCATTCAGTCAAGAGTCTTCCTTCAGACCCAGCACCCTTAATGCATGCTGGAAGAATTAAGTCTAGATTATGACTAATGCTCTCACGTTTCTGTGTTCACAGTGAGAGTCCTAGAAAAAGACTACAGTGGTGTCCACTCTCCATTTCCATCCAGCCCCTTTCTGTAGGTGTTTATTGAGCACCTATGTATGCCACAAACTGGGGTCCCAACGGTGAACAGAGCAGACAAAAGTGTGTGTTTTCATTGAATCGTACAGCCTACCAAGGGGAGTCAGACAAATAAATATATGCAAAATCATCATTGTAAGGCTGGGTAGGATTAGAAGCAATTAAGAAAAATAAATTGGGTAAAGAGGATCCAAGCAGGATGGTACATGATATTCTCAGGGGAGAGAATTGAGGAAGGTTTCTGGAGATGAACTTGGAGCAGAGATCTGAATGAAATGGGGTTGTGTGACTTTGGGGGAGGGAACATTCCAGCTGTGCGTGTCTAAGGATCAGGAAGGAGGCTGGTGGCTAGAGTGTCAGGAAGGAGGCTGGTGAGACAGAGGTGAGGGTTGAGAAGGAACAGGATCAGATCTTGTAGGTGCCCTGGAGGAATTTGGTGAGTATGGGACGTGATGATCATGAAGTTCTAACCAGCTGCCTGGTGGTTCTCTGCTGCCGGTCCACACTTGGTGGGACGAGGGACCTAGGTCTGTGTACCCCACTAGAAGGATTTGGCTTTTACCGTGAGTGACACGAGTCATAGAAGGGTTTGGACCGAGTCGAGGGGGTCTGATTCACACTGTCAAGCAGTCTCTCTGGCCAAGCTGTCACCAAGGACCCTCCATGTGGGTAAATCAAGTGCACATTCCTCATGCCTCTTCCTACAGGATATTTTGGGAACCTCTTGTGGCCCCCCCGCTTCTCTTTTCCCTTGGACTGCCCTTCTTGGGCTTCATTGTGGGTGTCCCTTGAGTCTAATCCTTGGCCTTGTTCCGTCTCGTACAACAGTTCTGGCTTGGTGGCTCCCACAGCTTTCCAGTGAACCCAAGCCCTGTTTATTCCCCCTGCCCCCCACAGACTTCCCACAGTCCTCCCAGATCACACTGAGCTCCTTGTCCTGGTTTCCCTAAAGGGTTGAGAAGGAACAGGATCAGATCTTGTAGGTGCCCTGGAGGAATTTGGTGAGTATGGGACGTGATGATCATGAAGTTCTAACCAGCTGTCTGGTGGTTCTCTGCTGCCGGTCCACACTTGGTGGGACGAGGGACCTAGGTCTGTGTACCCCACTAGAAGGATTTGGCTTTTACCGTGAGTGACACGAGTCATAGAAGGGTTTGGACCGAGTCGAGGGGGTCTGATTCACACTGTCAAGCAGTCTCTCTGGCCAAGCTGTCACCAAGGACCCTCCATGTGGGTAAATCAAGTGCACATTCCTCATGCCTCTTCCTACAGGATATTTTGGGAACCTCTTGTGGCCCCCCCGCTTCTCTTTTCCCTTGGACTGCCCTTCTTGGGCTTCATTGTGGGTGTCCCTTGAGTCTCATCCTTGGCCTTGTTCCGTCTCGTACAACAGTTCTGGCTTGGTGGCTCCCACAGCTTTCCAGTGAGCCCAAGCCCTGTTTATTCCCCCTGCCCCCCACAGACTTCCCCCAGTCCTCCCAGATCACACTGAGCTCCTTGTCCTGGTTTCCCTAACTTAGGGACAGCCCCACTGGCTACCCAGTCACGAGGCCAGACTGCCCAGGCCCCACCCTTGCCTCTTCTATCCTATCTCTCACTTCCACAGCTGGGCAGTCCCCAGCTCTGCCTGATTTTCCCCATCCCCTCCACTCTTTCCCCCCAGCCCTGGCCCAGCTCAGCCTCATCTTCTGCCCAAGGCCCTGATGCCGACCTTCCTGTCTTCTCACTCCGCGTCCTGTCCCCACAGCCCTGCTCCAAAGCTTCATCCTTTCCTACCTGGCCCATTGGCCTTGCCTCCAGTCTGACCCCTCCAATCCATCCGCACGTGGCCTCAGAGGCGTCTTTCTACACTTACACATCCTCTCCGCACCACCCTGCTCAAAGCTCTCCTGTGGCTTCCTGCTGCCCTACCAGAAAAAGCCCCTGCCCTTTGCCTCCTGGGCGACCCCACCTCCCATCACCGCCTTCATTCTTGCCCTTTATGATCTGATCTCTAACTTGACTCACTATTTTGGAAACCAACTTTACTGCTTCTCTAGATGTAATTGAAGCCACACAGGACTAGGCAAATATGAAGGTCATTGGCTCAGAATCCTATTTCCTATCACTCAAGACTGGGCTTTTGTGTGACCTTGAACAAGACTCCCCTGACTACTCAGGCTGAGTCCAATGCCTTCTCTGAGCTTGTGGTTTCTGTGATTCCACCATTAGAGCAGTTTGTGGTGGTGCTTTCCTGTCGCCTTCCCCAGCAGTCTTGGCTCTCCCAAAGAACAGGGATTTCTCTCTGGTCCTTGGTGTTTAGAGCAGTGTGTGCCACACAGGTGGCCTCGGAGGAAGTTGGAAGTAACAAGCCCATATCCCATTTTTTCCCCACAGAGCGGGCAGTACCTGGACGTCTGCTGAAGACCCGGGCGATGCGGGAGATGTACCGGAGCTATGTGGAGATGTTGGTGAGCACAGCGCTCGACCCAGACATGATCCAGGCCCTGGAGGACACGCATGGTGAGCTGAGGCTTGGGGAGGAGAGATTGGGGGCCAGGACTTCTGGGGCTGAGGACTCCTGGGTCTAAGGTGGGAGGAGATTTGAGAACCCAGACCATTAATCCCTCCTAGGCCCTGGTGCACTGTGGGGCTGTGACTCTTCTGACACCCTGTCATCATCTTTCAGACGAGCTGTACCTCCCGCCCATGAGGAAGATAGACGGACTCCTGAACGAGCACAAGAAGAAAGTCCTGAAGCGGCTATCACTGAGCCCAGCCCTGCAGGTGCGCTTGGGGGCCTGGGCAGAGTGCGTCTGGGGCCCATGCATCAGACATGGAGACGACGTGGACGTGTA